AGTTCTCCACCATTTATCTTGTGTGGAACAGTGGATAGAGTGCTGGACCTGGAATCAGGAAGATTCGTTTTCCTAAGCTCAAATCTGGCCTCAGACACTTACTAGCTATGAACCCTGTGCAGGTCACTTAACTCTGTTTGCCTCAGTTTCCTCATGTGTAAAATGAACTGGAGAAGAAAATGGCAAACCGTTGCAGTATCTTTGCCAAGAAAACCCCAAACCCCAAATGGGGTCACGAACAGTTGGATACAACTGAAAATGACCTAACAATATCTTATTTGTACATAGTTGTATGTACAAATGTCTCCCCCATTAGATTGTGAGCTTCTTGAGAACAGGGACTGTCTTTTACCTTTCTTTGTATCCCCAGCACGCACAGTGCCTGGCACATAATATGCCTTTAATAAATTCTACTCAATTGACTGATTGATATACCATTAATATATTATTCCAGTTCTTTCCAGTGGTCAATTAACAGAGTAACTAGCTTAAACTGTTATCCTTCCAAGGAATATTTACATTGTAATGGAGATCTCTTAAAGAGCAAAAAAATCTTCAAGACCTGGCTTTAACGGTATAATTTAAGGAATCATCATGTAAATTTGGGATGGAACACCCTACAGAGAACTCCTTTAAATTTTATAAGGCTTATAACATTTCAGAGTTGGAGGGGATCTCAGGCTGCCCAGTCCAACCCATATCTCAATGAAGACTTCCTTCCATGTGAGCAAATGAATTTAGCCTCCATTTGACAAAATAGCATTTCTCAATGTATCCCATTCTGCTTTCATTTTCAGAAGGGAAATCTAGAGTCAAAATAATGGCTTCTGTGAAACTTCTCCCTGCTTCTGGCCTCTGGGGCCAAGCAGAAATAAGTTTAGTTTCCTTTACATCACAATACTTTAAGAATTTAAAAAGACTATATCTCACTCCTTCCCCCCAGCTTCTTCTCCAGACTAAACACCTCCTCCCACTTCATTTAGTCTAACATAGGATAGTCTCATTGTTCTAAATGTCCTCCAGTTTGTCAATGTCCTCACAAAAATGTGTCTAGAACTGAATATCTCACTACAGATGTAGTCCTGTTGAGGTCTAGAGGTGGTAGGGACCCCAAAATTCAAGGGTAAGCAACACAGGTCTCCTCAAATGAATTCAACCCAAGCCTTCATTCAGTCAAACACAAGGTTTATTAAAACACCGGTAGAGGTGGGCAAGATTTTAAGAATTCACCCTGCTGGCCAGATTTTAGGAATCTGAGCCTTTATAATGAGAATACAACTAGGCCAAACTCTTAAGAAATCTGAGTGATTTAATGGGGGTGAGATGGACACTTATATACAGAGGTCAAGGAGTGGCCAATAGCTTGGGTGACTGGGAGATAACAGAGAAGGACTCGGAAGGCCAGGTGCCCCAGGCGAATGCCAGGGACCTAGGGCACATGGGAAAGTCCAGGACCTTCTCCTTTTTGGGGTCCAGATCTCAAACACATGATCTTTTCCTTTTAGGGGTTCAGATCCCATTCCCATCAATCTTACCAGAGTAGAGTACTATAACATCTCTAATTCTAGATGCAGTGCTTTTCTTAATGAAGAAGGCTAAAATGGTGTTGGGTTTTTTTAATTCTCATGTCATACAGTTGACTCACTTTTTAGCTCACACTTGACTAAAATTCCAGATCTTTTATATGAACTGTTTTTTAGTCACTTCCCCCATTCTGTCTTTGTGAAGTTGATTTTTTTAACCCGTCTGTAGAACTTTACATTTACTCCTATTATATTACGTCCTATTGATTTGGCCATATTTAGTTGTTATCCACTGTATCGCAGAATTTGAGAGTTAGAAGGGACCATCTGGTCCAATTCCTACACAAAAGGAACCCCCAGTATGACATACCCAACAAGTGGGCTATCTTTATCTCTAAGAAGGGGAAACCTACCTACCACCTCCAAAGACAGTCCATTCCACTTTTGGACAGCTCCATTTCTTAGGACATTTTTTCCTAACATTGACCCTTCTTTGTAATTTCTTAACATAGCTCCTGATTCCCTTCTCTAGGACCAAACAGAACAAATTTAATGCTTCCATATGACTTCCTTTCAAATACTTGAAGCCTGGTAGCATTTCCTCCTGGTGTCTTCACTAGGCTAAATATTCCTCATTCCTTCAACACATCCTCATATGACATGGATTCTTAGCCCTTCACCATCCTGACTGCCCTCATGGACATTCTCCAGCTTGTCAACATCCATCTTGAACTGTGGTGCCTAGAGCTGAACATAATATTCTAGATTGGGGTGGGGAACCTGTGGCCTCAAGGTCACATGTGGCCCTCTAGGTCCTCAAGTGTGGCCCTTTGAATCCAAACTTCACAGAGCAAATCCCCTTAATAGAAGGATTTGTTCTGTAAAACTTGAATTCAGTCAAAAGGCCATACCCAAGGACCTAGAAGGCCACATGTGGCCTTGAAACTACAGATTCCCCACCCCTGTTCTAGATGACCTCTGATAAGGGCAGAGGACAATGGAATTATTGCTTCCCCATTTCTGAAGCCATGACCTCTTAATGCAAGATCAAAGATCAAATTAGCTACCACACCTTACCCTGACAACCCTCAATCCCCATCATTTGTAGAATAGCCTCTCTTTCCCTCATCCTGGACTTGTGAAGTTGATTTTCTTGTACCCAAGTTCGAAGCTACTTTTTTCCCTACTGAATTTGATATTCCTAGATTCAGCTCAATGCTCTTGTCAGATCCTTTTGGATCTTGACTCTGACATCCAGTATGTTAGCGATCCCTCCTAACTTGGTTCCATTTGCACGTTTGATGGGCATGCCGTCTGTGCCCTCATTCAAGTCGTGGATAAAAACGTTAAGCAGTCCATGTGCTTGACGTACATCACTGAAGATGCCTTACTGATAATGAATCATTAACAACGGAGCTTTGAAACCGACCAGCCAACGAGGTATGAATCCAGCTGGTTCTGATGGTGTTATCCTTTCATCCATATTACTCCACAAGAATAGTTGAAGATACTCCATTAAGAGCTTTGCAAAAAATTTGCGTAAGTCATACCCACAGCATCCTCTCAACTACTGGTTTAGTCATTTTACATCTTTGGTCTCTTCTCTGTTCCTGAGCCTAATCTTTATTTCCCTATCCCTCCATCCAGTACCCAGGTCTCCTATTTTCTCTAGGTCTCTATTTAATTGGATGTCTTGAAACTTTTTGAAATATGGTTTATTTATGATACTCATTATTGTTTTCTAAGCTAATGATCATTTCCATTGCCAGGTAAATGTCATTTTATTGATATTGAGTAACTTTACCTCTGAATAACAGACTGTTTCCCCAGGTCCAAAGTTGTCTGTCCATCTTGTGTTCCCTGAGTTTTCAGCCATAAAGTCTATATTTTTTTATCCTGAAACATGATGTGCATATACCCATTCTTTTCAGCCTCTATTTTTAAGCCCCTTGTTAAGGACTTACTTATTTATTTGAACCTGGATTCCACTAAAAATTCATCTTAGCTGGTCTCCTAACCTCTCCAAAAAATTTCTGCTTGCTGCTGAAGTGATTTTCCATGCCTTGCTGTATTGCCCAACTCACTCCATTGCTGCTACTCTTTCCATTGACCTAGAAATTAAATACGAACTTTTGATTGGATTGTTTTCAAAACTCATTACAATTTAGACTAGCCCTACTGATTTTCTTCTTCTATCAATTTAACTTCTTGACTTTATCCAAGGTATTTATGAAACACCCTTCCTTTTGAATGCCTATCACACCAACCATGTCCCTTCCCTTCTTCAAATAGTAAAGGCCTATGCCTCCTCTAGGAAGCTTTCCTCTGTTTTTGATCTTCTCACTTTCTAATCTAGCAGTTTGAAAATTTTGGGCTGTGGGCCAAAGCAACTTCTCTTCCAAAACTCATTTTCATCATGGCATGGATGAGCAACTTCTCTTCCAAAACCCATTTTCATCATGGCATGTGTGTGTGTGTGTGTGTGTGTGTGTGTGTGAATGCATGTATATATGTATGTAATGTATGTGTGTGTATATACACACACCTACATATATCCCTCTTTTTCATATAGCCTATATAAAAATGTATATCCAAATATAATTGCATATATATGATATATATTATATATGTATTTAAATAATGTAATATGAATATAAAATGCATGTATATAATATGCATATATATAATATATAAACAAATAAAATATATTAGGTATAGACAACTCAAAGAATATACACAACTATATTAATTTCTTCTTTCAAGAAGCTTACATACAGGGATGATGAAATAAACAGCTAATCCTATGGATGATCTGTACCTAATACACTTTATCTGTACATTATAATATATGTGTATATACATACATACACACATACACATACATATCATCCTATGAGTTGTCTGTACCTAATACATTTTATCTGTATCTTATTTTGATATTATATATATATGTACATATATACACACACTCACACTATACATATGTATATATATATACATTTGGGTTGTTTGTACTTTGATACATTTTATCTGTACATCATGCTATATAATGTGACAACTTACAGCTGGAGGTTCTATTTATTAATTATATATTTTTTAAAACCCTCCTTCCTTCCACAAAAATGCAGGAAAGTAGCTTTGGTCTATTTTTCACTTTATAGCTATAGTGAAGTCATTGGTTATTAATACTCAAAAAGCTCTTTTCAAGGTTATAACACCACAAGAACATTGTTAGTAATATGCCGAACAATTTTAAAACATTTGAGTAAAAACTTGCCAATATGATGAGCAAAGACTCTTCTGAGTCTTTTGCCCCAGCACTCATATTTGCACTTTAATTCAAAGGGATACGTGCATTCTTTCCCTTGTCTAGTGATGGAGGTTGGTTCTTTCCAGTTGTTACCCAGGGAGGCTGATGTTTTGTTTTTTTTAATCTTGTGGACTTGTCCATCTCTGCTTTAATCCTCTGTCTTCCAGCTCAATGGAGACTCTCAGGCAAAAGTGCAGCGGATCTTGCGACTGATCTCTGGTGGCGGATTGTCCATAACTGGGTCACACATCTTGTGCGGAGACTTCTTATTCAGCGGCCACACTGTTGTGCTGACTCTTACTTACCTGTTCATCAAAGAATGTAAGTCTATAGAATTATGCTACCTCCCCTTATTCATTCCCACAGGAGAAAAGATCACCAAGGCCTCAAACTGATTTGTGTATAGCCCCTTGGTCTTTTCAATTGGACAGCTCTGAAAGTCACTCTACAAATCAACTTGGTTGTGTATCTATGGATTATCTTAAAAAAAAAGCCAATTTCAATCTTGGACTGGTTTTCCTTCTGTCACTCAGTGAGCTTCTGGGCTACCTCCTTCTCCTGCTGCTGTTTGTTCAAAGAAAGTCAACTCATTTTAGTGTTGGCCTCAGCAAAACATTAGTAAGAAGTCAGGTAACAGCAAAGAGAAAATCATAGTACATTCCAAGCCAAACAGCAGTGACCTTTGGGATTATTTGGATCATATACCTGCTCATCAATTCAGATAATTGAAAATTTATTTGATTTAGTTTTAAAATTTGTATTTGTCTTAGCATATCTATTCTTGCTCTGTCTGTGGTTCACTAGATTTCCTCACAGAAAGTGCTTACTTGAACATTTAAAAATATGGGCAAGGCTTTTCTTCTGTAGAAGAATTATGTTCCATTTTAGGCAGTATGGACTAATGGAAGGAACACTGGATTTGGAGTTGGAAGACCTGAGCTCCAAACCCAGCCCTACTATGCTCTGTTGTTGTGAGCTTATGAAAGCCAGTTCTTGGTGCCTCATTTTCTTTCCTGGTTACCTGGGGACCTTAGGTTAAAACAGCTTCTGAAATCCTTTCCTTTGATCCTCCAGTGTGAAAAGTGACTATATCTAATCCAAGTAGCACTAACTTTGGGGTATCTCCATTTTTGTGTCCTGAATAAATGTCCCAGTCTCCTGCTGTCATGTGGAAAAGTGATCAAATTCATTCTGCTTGGCCCCATTGGGCAGAAGCAGAAGCAACTGGGCTAAGTTGTCTGTTGGTATGTGGGGGAAAAAAGCCTACCAACTATTAGAACTTCACAGATGGAATGGACTGCCCAGGGCAAAGAGGTAGCGCCTTCCTCATTATTGGAGTTCTTAAGATTGGATATACTCCTGGTCAACAATGCTATAAAGAGGGCATTCCTGCCCCTCTGAGGTCCATTTTTATTTTCATACTTCAAGACATTACAAAAAGCAATCTCATCATAGGTACTTAATCAGACTTAAAATTCTCATATTAAGGACCTACTTAATGGACTTACTTAAGGACCAACAGAGCACCAGGCTCTGTGCTAGATCCTAGAGCTTTAAAAAAAAAAAATAGAACAGTCCCTACTCCAAGGAGTTGAAATGACTTGTTCAGAATCATTCAGCCATTATATGTCAAAGACAGAACTTGAACCTGGGTCTTCATTCAGAGACTACCATGCTGCCTCTCTTCATTTTCCTGGGATTACTATATTTCTAAGTACTGTGCTCCATTATCTATTATCTCAAAAAAGCCTTCTGAAAGTCATGATGTTTGGTATGCCCTTCCTCTATTTTTAGCTCCCTATAAAAGCTAGTCAAAACGAGCCTTCAGTTTTTAGCTTTGTGGTAACCCCCAAATACCCCAAGCCAATAATACTATTTAAAGCTTTGCTCCAACCTCTTTTTGCACATTATCAAGCATGCACCATAGCAGAGAGCTGGCCCCTACATCAAGTCCACCTGGCCAATCCAGAGGCTATAGAACAAATAAGAATGTATATGCCAACCACTTTGTAACTGTGAAATGCTCTGTAAATGTGATGGTTATTAAAAAAAAATAGATCTTGTGAGGGCATTTTTTTTTCATGATCCAAGAAGTGATTTTTTTTTTTTTGGCCTTGTAGTTGCCCAAGACTTTGCAATTTAAATATTGCACTGGGAAAACTTACAGTGGAATACTTTATAATTCTCTGTGAAAGAACATAGTTCTCTAAATGGAGTATTAACTACTGTGATGGGTGAAAAATGAAATGACTGAAGAAACAAAGGTTCGATTTTTCATGTATATTGATTTATTAAGCAATGAATGGGAATTACCCAACAAACTGGGACCAGACCACCTCAGCTTGGGCTGGACCCCAAATACAAAGGGAGATAGACTTTTATACATTAAAAACAATTAATCAATTAAGGCCAGTTATTAAAAGGAAAAATAATATGTTAATAATCTGATTTCTAATTGGATGAAAGATTAGGGACTTTCCAAGTTGGAAGGGTAGAGGTGAACAGGTGCAATTTCCTGAATTCAGAAAAAGAGGGGTACCACTTTCCCCAAGTATCTCTAAACAATCTAAGGAACATGGAAACAATAACTGACTCATTAGTGTAGAGTCAGTTTTCAATTAAGACATGGTTTGCTTGAGATATACAATTGTAAGAAAACTCTTTGCGACAATCTTTGGGTCTGACTGGGTGTCTGGTCAACTTAACCTAGGTCCTTAGTCAAGGATCTCTATGTAGCAGGTGGAGGTGGTCCAGTTTCCCAGCCAAACAATTCCCAGGTTCAAACAATACAATAAGGTTTTCTCCCCAGTCCCATAACTGAATAAAGTTTTTCTCAAGACAGAATTTGGATTAGACCCATAATAGAATAGAAAAGGAACTGAGCTAGCTCCAGAATTGAGTCACAAGATGGTTCGCTCTGTTCCCACAATTAACCATTGTTGTCCTAATCCTCTCAATTCTATCACTGTTTCAAGACTGTCACTGAAGCCTAGTTCTTAATTCCTGGTCAGGGATTCTTAACCTGGAGTCTATGAACCTTTTTTTATTCTTATTTTTTTTAATTTTGGTCACTGTATTTCAATAGAATTTGTGTCCTTTGTAATTTTACGTATTTTGTTTTATGTATTGAAAAACATGATTTTGAGAAGGATTCCATAGGCTTCACCATAGACTAGAGGATCCTATGATACATACAAAAGACTAAGAACCCTTAATTTAGAGTTTGGAGGTTTGTTTTTCTTTTTTTTGTTTTTGTTTTTGTTTTTGTTTTGTTTTTTTTGCAGTCAAATATTGTTATATTGGTAGACTAACCAGTAACTTATAACCTATCTCTTTCTCTGAGTAGAGAAGTTTAGAGGGTACCATGTTTATCTGGTCCTGTTTAAAAGGCCTTTAAGAGTTGGGTGAGTACTCTATTATGGAAGATTTATGGGACAGTGAGGACAAGGGTCTCTCAGGATACTATGTCATGAGTGGATTTAAGAGCTCTCCAGTGGGCCAAGAAGGTCCCAGCTCTATCAAAGTAGTCTACTAACTTGTATGGCGGTTTTACATTTAGCATTTAATTATAGGCCACAGGAGATGGGGAGGGATGTATGTGTGTGTCCATACCACAAGTACCAGTTTTAAGTTCTAAATCAAAATGTTGCTTTGAGGTTGTAGCATAATTTGTAGGTGTTCACATAGGACAAAATTATGGTTTGTGTGTTTTTGCCCACACTCTTGGTGATAAGCATCACTTAAGGATCTACTCTTTATTTTGTAGAAAATTCTTTAACTTTGTAATTAGCATCCTCTATATGAAAAGGTCAACTTAACAGTTAGACCCATACAGTATGCAAATATCACCTTCCAAGTTGGGCCAGATGTAGTATGGCTGCTCTGAATTAACAGTGGATCTGGGTTCTTTTGAAGGCATGCTTCTAGCAAAAGAAGGAGGTATCACTTATGTCTATTTTTTGCTTCTCTTCATTTCTGTGGGCTCTCTCCTAGCTTTCTTTCTGGTAATTCCAGATTTTACTTATTTAGTTATTACTATTGGAACAGGCCTCCTTGGCAGCTAAGCAGGGGCCTTCTTTGTAACCATAAAACATTAAATCAGCATAAGCCAGTATTACCATAAGGTGATAGATACTTTTGTAACATTCATACATATCCCAAATTTTTATATACACTCCTGTTGGATCCTCACCATAACCTAGTAGAATAATAGTTATGAGTATTTTTATACCCATTTTATTGATGAAAAAACTGATTAAGAAGCAGGCCTACTGAGAGACCTTTATAGATTATTTGTTCTAATCTCCTTGATTTATAGATGAGGAACCTGAAAGGTTAACCAGTTCTCCCAAGGTCACATACATAGTAGGCAGCTAGGTGGCACAGTGGGTAGAGCACTAGGCCTGGAGTCAGGAAATTGTTGTTAAGTTGTTTCAGTCTTGTCCAACTCTTTGTAACACCATTTGGGGGTTTCTTGGCGAAGATACTAGAGTGGTTTGCCATTTCCTTGTAAGACCTGAGTTCAAATCCAGCCTCAGACAGTGACCCTGGGCAAGTCACTTAATCTCTGTCTACTTCAGTTTCTTCATCTGTAAAATGAGAAAAATAATAGCACCAACCTCAAATGAAGTAATATTTGTAAAGCACTTTGTGAACCTTAAAGCACTATATAAATGCAAGCTAGTAGTGATAGTGATTAGAATCTAGGTCTCTTGACTCAGGCCAATGTCCATTATATCATACTGCCTTTTGCAAACATAGTCTGAAGACTCAGATTCATAAATAAATTGGACACACAAGTAAATGCAAATCATTTCAGAGCATCAGAGCACTAATTTTGCCAATGTACAGACCCTGCATATTCCATAGCCTATGATAATCCTGTACTCCCCAAGGAAAACTGGAATACAAATCCAAGCTCTGCTACAGACTGTGGTCTTGTGTAAATCAGTTGTCTTCCATTCCTCAGTGTTCCGTTTAGGAATATGGGGATTTGCTATTCATGGGAGTGCAATGGCTAGGAAATCAAAACACACTTGGGAATAAAAAATGGCAAAAATAAATATAGTAAATTATATTAAGAAACCTATTTTAGGGATCTGCTCTCAGATCTTATGTAGTAGCTTCCTATTAGAGATCATTAAGCATTGTGCCCAGCTAGTCACACATTCACCATTCTCCATACTACAACAGCTAACCATCTAAGATTCCTTCCTCTCTGACTTTACCTTGACTGCTCATTTGACAAAGAGATTGTGGATTGTCAGTAAGCCAAAATATCTCTAAATCTTCCATTTGCAAGTAGATGTGGCCTGCCTCATACTTTGGGTTCTTTTAAGGTCAGCAGTGAAGAGGCATCAACGCATAATGGGTAAAAGCCCTGAACTTGGGATCAGAAGACATGGAGGCTGGGTTTATGTCACGGCCCTAGCACTTATCAGCTGTGTGACCTTAAGTAGACTCCTAACCTCTCTGAGTCTCCATTTCTTTATCTTTAAATGGGAATAACATGTGTGCTACTCTTGACAAACAGTAAACGTGGGTAGCCAGGTTGCATTTGAGTATAAAAGATAATTTGAAAGGAACAATTTAACTAGAATTGGGAGTTCAAGGTGAATTCCAGTTCTGCCTTTTTGGTTCACTCTGTGATAGGACCATGTAGTACTGGGACAAGGGCATTCATGATTTCTTTGCTTATCCCTTTAGTTTCATATAGCTGACATGTGCTAGTCTAGCACCCTCTTGTGGTCAGGGTGAGAAGTTAGTCAATGACTGGAGAGCAAGAATACTGTTAAGGTTGGTAGGGGGTAGCATGGCTTATGGAGGCTAAATATTTGCTGGCACAGAGAGTTGATTGGGGGAAAATTATATGTGAAATTTTTTGTGTACTTAGTCATACAGGACAAACTGTTTTCCTCCAGATCATCATAACGTCACATTCAGCTCACACCTCTGCTTTCTGTCCATGTATACTCTTTCTAACTGCCCTAATAATGAGAAAGTTTTTTAGTAGTTATGAATATCATTTTCCCATGTAGGAATTTAAAGAGTTTACCCTTATTGAATCCCTTATGATTTCTCCTTCCTATTTACCTTTTTGTGCTTCTTTTTCATCTTGTCTTTGAAAATCAAATTTTCTATTCAGCTCTGGTCTTTTCATCAGGAATGCTTGGAATTCCTCTCTTTCATTGAATATTCATTTTTTCCCCTGAAGGATTGTACACAGTTTTGCTGGGGAGGTGATTCTTGGTTGTAATTCTAACTCTTTTGTCCTCAGGAATATCATGTTCCAAGCCTTCCAATCCTTTAATGCAGAAGCTGCTAAATCTTGGGTTGTCCTGACTGTGGCTCCAGTGTTTTTTTCTGGCTGCTTACAGTATTTTCTCCTTGATATGAAAGGTTTGGAATTTGGCTGGGAGTGTTCATTTTGGGATCTCTTTTAAGAGGTGATTGGTAGATTCTTTTAATTTCTATTTTACCCTCTGGTTCTAAAATATCAGGACAATTTTCCTTGATAATTTCTTGAAGGATGATGTCTAGGCTCTTTTTTTTTTTATCGTAACTTTCAGGTAGTTCAATAATTCTTAAATTATCCCTCCTGCATCTATTTTCCAGTCAGTTTTTCCAATAAGGTATTTCACATTTTCTTCTACTTTTTTTTTCATTCTTTTGGTTTTGTTTTATTGTTTCTTTTTTTTCATTTCTTTTTTTTTTTAGGCAATTGGGGTTAAGGGACTTGCCCAGGGTCACATAGATAGTAAGTCTAAAGTGTTTGGTCTGAGGCTGGATTTGAACTCAGGGCCAGTGTTCTATCCACTGCGCCACCTAGCTGCCCCTGTTTTATTGTTTCTTGATGTCTCACAAAATTATTGGCTTCTACTTGGTCAATTCTAATTTTTAAGGAATTATTTTCTTCAGTTAGCTTTTGTACCTCCTTTTTCATTTGGCCAATTCTGCTTTTTAGGGAGTTCTTCTCTTCAGTGAACTTTTGAATATCTTTTTTCTATTTGGCCAGTTCTGCTTTTCAAAGCATTCTTCTCCTCATTGGATTTTTGTGCCTCTTTTACCATTTGGCCTAGTCTGTTTTTTAAGGTATTATTTTCTTCAATATTTTTTGTGCCTCTCTTACCAAGCCGTTGACTTGTTTTTCATGATTTTCTTACATCATTCTCATTTCTCTTCCCAATTTTTCCTCTACCTCTCTTACTTGATTTTTAAAATCCTTTTTGAGGTCTTCCATGGCCTGAGACCAATTCATATTTTTCTTTGAGGCTTTGGATGAAGAAATTTTGACTTTGTTGTCTGCTGAATATGTATTTTGATCTTCTTTGTCACCATAGTAACTTTCTGTAGTTTGTGGTTTTGTCTGTTGTTTGCTGATTATCTAGCCAAATTCTTGACTTTTAACTCTATGCTAAAGTGGGGCTCTGCTTCCCAAGGGGAAGGGGCACTGTCCCAGGCTTCAGGCATTTTGTGCAGCTGTTTTCAGAGGTGATTCTGGGGACCTGTAAGTTTTTGGCTTTTCCAAGATCTCCCTGTGATCTAGGGAGATCTTCTCTCCTGTACTGTGCATTGGTTTGTGAGCAACCACAACCACCTTTTTCATCCCTGAAACTGTGATCAGGGTCCGTGCTTCCCTGCAGGCTGTAAGCTCTAAGAATAAGACCTAGGACTGTGACCCAGATCCAAGTGTAAGCAATGCAAGAGTCCTGCCCTTTGTACCAACAAAGGGACCCCTGTAAATTTCCTTCTGACATTTTGTCCAATTCCCTTACCATCTGTGGGCTGAGAGGTCTGGAAATCGTCACTGTGGCCACTGATTCAGTCACCCCAAAGCCTACGTCTGGTTTACTGGGGCCCAGTCTGCACTGGCACAGCCAGCACTGGACTGCACTCCTCTCTTATCCTGATGCAACAGACCTTTCCTGCCAACCTTCTAGGTTGTCTTGGGCTAGAAAATTGTTTCACTGTCTTTATGTGGGTTCTGCTACTTGAGAGTTTGTTTAGAGTCACTATTTAAAGGTATTTGGAGGAGAGCTCAGGCGAGACCCTGCCTTCACTCCGCCATCTTGGCTCTACCTCAGGAGCTAATTGGTTTCCTTTTAATCCTTTTTATTTTCTTTTGTGCACTTAAAAACATGATTCTGAGAAGGGGGTAATAGGCTTCATCAAACTGACCGAGGACAGGTTTTTGACACAACAAAACTGAAGGTGCCCAGATGTGGCCTCACATCTTCCTTTTCCAAGTGCTAAAGCTCACCAAGGTAGTATCAGACAAAGGACCCTGGGCAGCTGGGGTCTGTTGGCCTTCCAGGCCCAGGTTAAAGTCACACCTTAGGGCACTGCAGTCATTTTGGATATTTTCAGCAGCTCATAACTGGCCTATCTCTGGAAGGAAGAATAATGTGCATCTTTGTGCTCTGCAGACTCACCCCGCCACTTCTGGTGGTATCATTTGATATGCTGGCTGCTGAGTGCTGCTGGGATCATCTGTATTCTTGTGGCCCATGAACACTACACTGTTGATGTGATAATTGCTTATTATATCACAACAAGACTCTTCTGGTGGTACCATTCCATGGCTAATGAAAAGGTGAGAGCAGCAAATACTTTAATGTAGGAGGGGAAAAATGCAAGTTGATGAGAGAAATGAAATAATCTTCTAATTCCATGTGGTTTTAAATAGCACAGCCTTGGAGAATGTGACTCTGCCACTGATAGACCATGTGGTTATGATGCAGCCACTTAACCTCTGCATCCATCACCCCTTCTTAAAATAAGGCATAGTAAAGAACTTATGAATATGACTGATTTCAATAATTCTGGGATCTATGATTTCATCAGTGTGGGTACTATACTTTCCACAGGTAGAGATTGAAATCTTTAGGAAATCTTCATCATGGGTTTCTGCCCTCTCTCCAAACACCTCCTGGTGACCAAACTTCTTGTGATAAATCCCTCTAAACTTGGGGCAGCTAGGTGGTGTAGTGAATAAGAGTGCTGGAGTCAGAAAGATCTGAGTTCAAATCTGGCCTTAGACATTTCTTAGCTGTGTGACCCTGGGCAATTTAATTAATTTCTCTCTGCCTCAGTTTCCTCATCTGTAAAATGAGAATGATAATAATAGCACTTACTTCCCAAGGTTGTGAGCATCAAATGAGATAACATGTAAAGTGCTTAGCACATTGTCCAGTACATGGTAAGCACTTAATAAATGTGTATTTCCTTGCTTCCTTTTATAAGTATTTACCTTAATAGGTTGTCTTTACATTGTGGCTGTTCCTAATGAACCTATGGATGTATTTGCTTACATATCATTTTTTTTCAGAGAACGAGGGGCCAAAGAAACAAAGCTTGGGTAGTAGTAACCACCATTTTTTTTTGTTTGTTTTTTTAGGCAATTGGTCTAAGTGACTTGCCCAGGGTCACACAGCTAGTAAGTGTCAGGTGTTTGGTCTGAGGCCAGATTTGAACTCAGGTCCTCCCAACTCCAAGGCCGGTGCTTTATCCACTGCTCCACCTAGCTGCCCCTAGGAACCACTTTTGATTTAATAGCAATTGGGAATGAAAATATATTTTAATTTCAGATTCATTAAGCCAGTTGATCAGCCTGAATGCTAACCAAGATTACTTGCCCAGGTAGTAAGTGTCTGAGGCCAGATTTGAACTTAGGTCTTCCTGAATCCAAGCCTGGCAGTCTATCCACCGAGCCACTTTAGCTGTCCTAGTCTAGTAGGCCTATAAAGGGAAATGCTACTGTAAGGGCTGGTATTGCCTGAGCTAATGTAGCATTGAAGCTAAACCTTGACATTTGGGTCAGATTATAACGGTTGGAGATGGGTGAAGGGGGAATGTTTGAAGAGAAGTGTTGAGATGAGAAAATAAGATGTGTTGAAGGGAGAATTACCAGACCAATTCAAACCAAGAAACATTTACGAAGCACCTACTATATGGAAGGGACTGTACCAGGTACAAATGATACAAAAAACAGGGGAATCCGTGTGTCATCATCTAAAGACAGCTGCCTCAAGAATACCTTGGGCTCCGGTCTCTTCCCTATCCCATTCATGCCTGTGTGTCTTGGAGTACCAAATCATTTCCTCTCAGTGCTCCAGGCAGTCTCTCTAAAATGACTAGATGTTGCAGAAAAAAAAGGTACTGACCTCCTTTGGAAGAAGGCATTGAGAGCTCCCATGTCTGATACCCCCCAAAAAGGGCATAGGCACAAGAATAAGAGACAGAGTTTACCTTCTAATGAGGGGCTTAAATTCTAAATTAAAAGTTACTTCTCTGAGAGTTAAATGCCTTTGTTTACTGTAGTGAAATTAAAATGTGATACTAATGAAAATATCCATTTCTGGAAAGTGAATATTGATTTTATAAGATATTAACTATTTTCTAAAAAAATTTTTCCCATTTCTGCTGTTTTATTAAGAGAGGTTTTAAAATTTCTTTTTCTATTCATTAGACTGGCTTTACTAATGGATGATTATAGTTTTGTCCATCATATTTAGAGTTATTCATTCATTGTTAAATCTCTCCATGTGTTTTCTTCTCTCCACATACAGAGCTTGAAGGTTTCATCACAGACTAATTTCTTATCTCGAGCATGGTGGTTCCCCATCTTCTATTTTTTTGAGAAAAACATACAAGGCGCAATTCCTTGCTGCTTCTCTTGGCCATTATCCTGGCCACCTGGCTGCTTCAAATCCTCCTGCAAAAAATACTCACGGGTTCAGAAAACAGGAGAGGACAATGAAAAATCCACTTGAAAGGAGGAATCATCAGGAAAAAGGCATAGGCTCTAAGACCAAAACGTTTCATGCTATAACCAAAGGTAGAGTTTTGTTTTGTTTTGTTTCTTTAATAGGATTGACTGGTATGTGAAGAAGTGGACCAAATTTTGTGTAAATGATTTGAAAGATAAACAAAGTATTGTCCCATGACATGGTGTTTATTTGTCTAGAAAAAAAAAAAAAAAAAGACTTCTGCAGCTCTTTACCCATTGATGATGAGACCCAGGACTGTGACTGACCAATGAGGTTGTAAAAGAGGTGCCAAAGAACACATCCCTTCCATCCCTGGTCCCATTTCATTCTTTGCCCTCCAACAAAGCCCTTCCCCTCAGAACTTAGAGCGCATTCCTAATCCTCCCCTCTCACCCAGCACAGCAGAATTTGGTGGTGTTTTAAACATATTATCAGGCTATATATATAGCTACAGTATGAAGGAAATAGTAACTCAATGTTGGGAAGTAGGTGATAGCATTCTCAAGGCTTCTCATTGGAGCCTCAGTGAGGGTGACACCCGTCATTCAAGGGGATGGAAAATTCTGGGCAAACTGCTGCTGTTTTCACTGCTTTTGGGAGGGGAAAGGATAGCTTAGAACCCTGGAATAGTCACTGTTGCTACCACCCAATGAATAACATACCTACCACTTTATACATTTTTTTTTTTACTGGTGACTTTATTTTTTAAAATAATGCTAGGCTAATGTGCTCCAACTGCAAACATGTCTGGCAACATCACAATGGTTTTACAAATGTGTAAATACTACATTTTTAAAGTGTATTTAATAGACATCAAGAAAACAATACTGGGATATTCGTGACAGGACAATGAATTTTGCTTCCGTGTTCTGTCCACTAGGGTGTTTGAACTGTCCCTGTGCAGAAAAGGTAGATGTCATGGATTAAAAAAACACTTGTCAAGTCCTCTCCACAAGTTTACTTGTGTGTGGACTAGGTATAGACTCTAGCAATGACGAAAGATCTCTGGTCACACTGAATTATGAAGGATCCTTGTTCTAAATATTTACCTCGTCCTTTTTGAAAACTCAAGATAGATGCCTACAATTTTGATGTATTCTTGCCTTTTTTCAAAAGACTCCACTAGCCAGAATATACTTAGACAGATACTGTAGTGCTTTAGTCCTTACCCAGTCAGAATGGTTATTACTTGGTGCTGAACGAGTGTGTGACTGTTATATCTACACAGTGACTACGTGTTTGTTTATAGATTTATTTAATGATGTAATACAAAACAGAATGGATTTTTTCTTTTCAATCTTAGCAGACCGCATTATTTAACACTAGAATATCTTTGGCTGATCTCTGAATTTATTTCCTCACATGTTTGAGGGCTATTTTTAAAGACTTCCAATAAAACCCAGCAAAAAGAAGTAACCAAATGTGCAGTAATACTAGTTGTTAACACTGGGGGAAGGTAATACCAGTATGAAAGAAATATGTTTCCTCCCTATAACGATGACGGAAAAATACAATAAAATTTTCATCATTAGCAAGATCAGTCAGCCTTTATAGATATATGATAAATAAACTTTGAATTACTTCAGTTTATCTCAACAAAGCACAAAATGTCCCCCACTCTACAGCAGTCACTGTCGTCATCCTTGGTGCTAAAATTCTCTGAATGTCCTTAGTGTTACTGCCTCTCTATAGTGGGAAACGCAGATTAATTCAAAGAGAACTAACTGTCCACCAGTCAGCTCACTTTAAATAAGAATTATAACCTAAACATTCTTGGTAGGATTTTAGACACAAGGGTTTGGCATCACATTCAAAATAAAGTGAACAGACAAAAACTCTGTAGCCTACACAGAGGCTACATGGTGGCCTGTCTTAGTTCCACAACATTTTCATCACAATTTTTATTTATTGACAGATTTGTGAAGGGGCCATGGTAGACTGCTCAGAAATCCTTTCTCTCCCTAGGAACTAAAAATCACTGCTGCCCAAATAAAAGAAAAATAGACAGTCCCAGAAGACTTGTAAATATTTTGCTGCTATCCAGACACTGGGGGATTGTTTTTCCCATTGGACCTCTAATGGAAGTGGAAAACATACTCTTTTTTTTTTTCTAAAGGCAATTGGGGTTAAGTGACTTGCTCACGGTCACTCAGCTAGTAAGCGTCAAGTGTTTGGTCTGAGGCCGGATTTGAGCTCAGGTGCTCCTGACTTCAGGGCCCGTGCTCTATCTACTGCGCCACCTAGCTGCCCCTGGAAAACATACTCTTATGTGACATTTGGTCCTGATCATAGTTTGGATGCCCACTTTTTCCAGGTGACTTACAATTATTAGGCTTAAACAAATTCAGTTTCAGTTTTAAGAGTTAACATTGTCTAATAAGGGCCTTTGTAGCTCCTTTGAACAGATTTTACATTTGCGTCAATCCCAAACAAAAACTCCATTGTAAAGATAGTTAAAAACATGTCGCCATTCCCTTTTCAGGTCGGTCAAAGGATTTGTGCCTTCATCCTTGGGTATTCTGCCATTCAAAAGCTCTTTGTGTATGCTGTAATTTAATAGATGAGGGAAGGGCATGTCTCAAACATTAAGCATATGGAATGTTTAGGGAAGCGATAGATAAGAAATGGCAGGTGTTCTGCCCAAAGGAATCACAGCAAGGAAACCTTGGAATTTAGCCCCAGATATCATCTTTGGAATTGAAAACTTGGGTCCACTGCCCTCACAATATTTGTCTGTCACATCAGTTCTGTTTATTGCAATCAACCAACTAACCACTTGGAAGTAACTTATAGAGTAGAAGCCTGCTTCCAAATCTCACACACAATTCTGTATGGAACTTCTGGAATGGAATTTCATATGGAAAACAGATTTTTCAGCCTGTAAAAATACCCTTCCCACTATCTCTGAAAGTAGAACAAACCCGTGTTCCTTTCAATCTCATGCACTGGTATATTGAGTTCTGCCTGCGATGATCATAAAGTTGAGGGAAAGTTTATTGACCTCCTGGAAAATGAGTTTTGCAGTAAAACTAGACTATCTTGGGAATATCGAGACACAGAGTATTGGTCACATGGTAGCTTTGGCAAAAGATACTTGGTGTATATTCCACTGCCCTCTGGTGGAGATATCACATACAACAAGATCTTCTGGTTTTGATCTATTGTTTAAGAACCCCAATGAACCAGACATTCTCTTTCCCCTCCAAAGACAGTCAAACCATCTTCCCAACCCTTTTTTCATGTTTATTTTTTTTTCAAACGAACCTCTATAATTGCTTCCATCATTGGCAGTGACCCCAGAGAACAGAAAATAGGAGTTATTCTAATGGCATGTTTAAATTGGTCTAGAGAAAGAAAGGTCAAAATCCACTTTGAGTAGAATTTCTGCAAGATAGATGTGCTCCTAGCATGCATGATCATTCACTTTGAAAACATTCAAACCATCTTTTAACTCAATTCCACTTTCAAAACATTCAAACCATCCTTAACTCAATGACACCAAGCCTCATGATTGGCTTTGAAGTAGTCAAAAGCCTCTGTTGGCTTTGAAATAGTCAAGGCAAGCTTACTGTCTTTCTCATCGTACTGGGTTTCTTTTTTTCTTTTCTATCTCACAACTTATTTTTTCAAATTGAAATATGTTTGAAGAATTTTTTTGTTTTGTTTTGTTTTGCACAGTTAGTGAAAATTACAGGTTCAAGCTGGTCTTACCATTCACTGCTATGGGTTTTTAAAGGAAGTGTGAAAAGTCTCTTGAAGTATGAAAATACATGACCAAGTCAAGCATATTTTACAAAAGATGTTCTATTTTGATGGCTTTGCTCTTTACGTGCCTGTGAAAGATATTTTCCTGATATTTTATCAATGCCGTGTCAGTGCTATAACACATCTTATTGGCCTTGAAGAGATGTTTTTGTTTATAAAGCAGTGATAGTGACATAAATACCATCCCCCCCAAACAATGCAAATCAAGTCAGTGACCCAATCAGAGTTGTGTTTGGCACAAGTGCCTACCTTGATATTTTCCTACTGCTTACTAGGACCTATTATACCCACTTAATGCTGTGTGTTCTAAATGAATCATGAATGGAAATAGGTCTTTATTGTGTCTCATGAATTAAAACTGTGCTGTTTTCAGAAGGAAGGAAGAAACCATCCACATAAGCTAATCTAATTGCCAAGTTGGAATACTTTATTTAATTTACCTCCTATGCAATGAATAATGCTGCAAAACATGTGGTTATGTTACAGTATACCCATAAAAAAGATTTTAAGAGGTAGCCAACTGTATTCTTTTGGAAACGTACTGTACTGTTTCAATGTGTTAAGTGCCTTGTAAAAGTACAATTTTAGGTCTATTCTAGAGTATGTTATTTTCCTGACAAATATTTTTCATTATAAAAAGGATAAATATATACTATATGCTATTATATAACTTATAGTTTTATTAAATGTGCTCACATTTTAATCAAAAATCATAAGTGTCAGATGTTCATGTTTCCTACCCAAAAGTACCATAAGCATCAGTCTAATGAATGGAATTCATTTTCAAGGTTTTTTTTAGGGAAAAGAAGAAATGGAAAGATAGTTCATTATCTTTAGAAGTGCATTTTTGTCATGACTGTGCATTTTTTTTCGTATAAACACATTTCAGTTGTAATTTAGGGGTGTGAATGCAGTATATACATACTCCTAAAATGCCAAAGTTTCACTTTTTTTTTTTAAGTGCCTAATGGTGAGTTAAACTAATTTATGTTTCAGCACTACAGAGGACAGATAACATGCACACCATTTCTAATTCCTTTGGTTTTGCTTTTCATTTGTTTTATTTTTTAAATGAGACGGTATACTTTGTATTTACCCAATAAACGACAATGAGAGATGAATGGTGTTTTCAAAATTAGTGTTGTGATTGTGTTTCTTTCTCTATAAAGTGATTTGAAAGATGCCTATTTTTAACAATTTGATTTTGCAAATAACGATTTTGTGTCTTGAAAACATGGCTATCAGAGATTTTGTACAACCGAAAAAGAAAGAAAAATGGCCTTAGAGAAGAGGGGAAGGGCTTATAGGATGTATCCTGGAATCAATACTGAATCAGCCCAATTCTAAATTCATCCAATTACCTTTGGCCTAATGACATATACTAAGGTATTTCCCAAGAGGATCTGTCTTCCAGATGTATACAGTCATGCCGTGGACAAGGCAGTGGCAAGACTGGCTTGAATTGTAGATTATATACTTGAAGAGGGTTTCCTTTGAGGTGTTATCTTCAATGCCAGTGCAATGGGGCCTCTGAGTATCACAATTGGTTAAAGGGATGAAAAGGAAACTGGACCAGCCTGTGGTTAACCTCACAAATTATCATGACAAAGATAGCCTTTGCCTGGCCTTATACTTATGCAGAGGATGGGTCCTTTGTATGATGGGGTACTATAGGAAATCCAGAATTTTAGCAAGCAGGCTGGAAGGTTACAGGGTTTCTTTCTGAGAGTTTACACATGATCAGAGCTCAAGGCTGACTTTAGACATTCATCTGGGCTTTAATTTGCACACACATAACCAATAACCATAACGGACAACTCATGTGTTCCACTGATGCCCATATAACGTCCAGAGTTGAAAAGGACCATACATGAAATGGACTCTCTGAGGGCACAGACAAAAATTATCGTCTAAGTCATAAATGATAAGTTGGGATTTACATTATTAGAAGAAATATCAATATTCACTGAGATCATCACAGACTTATGGGAAATATGGAGAAGATGTATTGGTGAGAAGAAAGGCAACAGATCTGTTACACTAGGCTAAAATCTGCCCCTTTTCAATTCTATCCATGTAGTTCTGACTTCTGGGACCACTGAGAATAAGCCTAACCACTCTTATCATGTTCCTTTCCTCTCCCTTTCCCATTCTCCTCCTTATCTTCTCCAGTCAAAACATCCCTACTTCCTTCAACTGAGCCTCCTCACCATTCTGGTCACCTTCCTGGTCTACCTTGTCAATGTCCTTTCTGAAATGTGGCACCCAGAATTGAACTCTTCCCCATTTTGAAACCAGATCATTTGTCAGTTTCCAGTTCCTTTTGTAGTTTTTCAGAGTTCATTAATGATGACTTAACAATCACATCTCCTAGTGTTTCCATATCCTAGGATGCAGTTTGTGCTTCATAACTCATTCATCCAGGGCAGCTAGCTGCTCTCCTAATGTCTTCAATTCCCTGTTAACCATTTCTCTATCCTTCCTAGTTCAAAGATTAATGAGATGAAGTTAAAAATGAGTTGAATATTGCCTCATCTTCATTATCCATCATCATTGACCCATCCATCCTGAGCAGCAGACCTTTGTCTTCTTTTATTCTACACTTTCCCTAGGCATAGCTTTAAAAAAAAAAAGAAGAGAAAACATTTTGTGGTCATTAACTTACCTTGGCAGTTCATTTTTACATTAGCTTTCCTGATATTATTCCCATAAGACCATGCTGTTTTTATTCGTCCACCCTTGGCTGACCTTATCTGCCTCTTCCATACCCATCCATCAAAAATGTCTCTGAATCTACTTTGGCTTCTTTAAGTAACTTTCCTCTTTTCATAGAAATACCAAATCACAGCATCTCAGAGTTAGAGACTTCAGAGGTCATCCAATCCAACCAGTACCTGAATAGGAACCTACCATATGAAGACAATAAAGAGCACTGGGTTAGGTGTCAGAAGAAGTGAGTTCCAATCTAGACTATCCTCCTTAGCTTTGTGGGGCCCAGGTTGCTAGGTGGCACAGTGGATAGGGCACTGGGCCTGGAGTTTATTTACTAGCTGTATGACCATGGACAGATCACTAAATAACTGTCTGTTTTTTCATCTGCAAAATGGGGATGATAATAGCACCTACCTCCTAGGGTGGTTATGAGGGTCAAATGAAATATTTGTAAAGTACTTAGCACAGTGCCTGGCACATTGTGGGTGCTACATAAATATTAGTTATGATGATGATGACATTAGGCAAGTCACTGAAACTCTTAGAATGTTGGTGTATTTTCCTCCTTCCTAATTTTCCTCACTATCCTTCTCACCCTATTTAACCCCATCCCTCCTCATTAATTTACTCACTACCTTGCCCACCTATTCCTTAATCTCCTCCCTCCCTTATCCACTCTCCCCACATTCCACCTTAATCTACCTTTCTAAGAATTTCTCCCTTATCCCCTCCCCTTTCTAATTCTTAATCTACACCCCCTTCTAAAAGTCCCTTCCTTATCCTATACCCTCATCCTTTTGTTTCTCTCTAAATTTAGAAGACTTTTATTCTTTTCTATATCTAGAAAAGTATAAAAGTCTTCTAAGTATGTATAAGTACATTTATATTTCCCTCTTTAACCCATTTCTAAAGAGAATAAGGTTCCAGCACTACCAGCACTCCACCCCCACTTGCTTCTTCTGTATCAATTCTTCCTTTCATGCCTCATTTGTATGAGACAGTTACTCCTTTTTTTCTCTCCCTATGCAGTTTTATTTTTTAGAATCGGACCATCATACACAGTTCAGCCCAAGCCTTTCTTTCAAACTACCCAAATAATAATGACAGTCTCAACAGTACTGATAACATTTGCACATATAGGAAGTAAACAATTTGACCTTATTGAGTCTCTTATAATTGTTCTTTAATGATTACCTTACATTTCTCTTGGATCTTATATGTTGAATTTTGCATTAAGTTTTGCTCTTTTTATTACAAATACCTGAAAGTCTTTCAGTTCATTAAATATCCTTTTTTTTTCCCATTCAGGATTATACTTAGCTTTTCTGGGTAAGTTTCTTTTTATCATAATCCCAGTTCTTTTGCTCTATGAAATATTGTGTTCCAAGACCTATGGTTCTTCAGTGTAGAAACTGCTAGGTCTTCTGTAATCCTCATTGTAGCTCTATGATATTAATTTTTTTTGTTTTACTTGTTGCTTGCAATATTTTCTCCTTAACCTAGGACCTTTGAAACTTGGCTATGATCTTCCTCTAAGTTTTCTGATCTCTTTCAGATGGTGATGGATTTTTTCTATTTCTGATTTACCTTCTTGTTCTAGAACTTCAGGGCAATTTTCCTTAATAATTTCTTATAATATTGTATCAAGATTCTTATTTTGATTGTAACTTTCAGCTGGTCCCTCTATTCTTATATTATCTCTCCTTGATCTGTTCTCCAGATCACTTGTTTTTCTGATGAGATCGTTCACAATCTCTTCTATTTTTTCATTCTTTTGATTTCATTATTTCTTAGTGCCTTATAACATCATTAATTTTCCCTTACCAATTCTAGTTTTCAAGAAAACTTCCTTAAGTTTTTGATTCTCTTTTTCCAGTTGGTTGACTTTCTTTTCATAATTTTCTTGGACTGCTCTTATTTTTTCCCTAATTTTTACTCAATTTCTCTTGATTGATTTTTAAAGTCCTTTCTAAGTTATTTTGTTGGGTTTTTTTGTTTTGTTTTGTTTTTGGTGGTTTTTGGAGGCAATCAGGGTTAAGTGACTTGCCCACGGTCACACAGCTAGTAAGTGTCAAGTGTCTGAGGCTAGATTTGAACTCAGGTCCTCCTGACTCCAAGACTGGAGCTCTATCCACTGCACCACCTAGGTGCCCCTTTTTAAAGTTATTTCAAGAACTCTTTTGGGGCTTGTGACAATTTGATATTTCTCATTGAAAAAAGATTGACTTTTTTAGCTCCATTATCTTCCTCTGAATATGAACCCAGATCTTCTCTATCCTCATAGTAGCTATGTATGGTTGGGTTTCATTCTCCTTTGCTTACTCACTTTTATTTTTATTTTGTTTTGTTTTGTTTTGTTTTTACAACTTTTTACAATCAGATTCTAGTCCCAAGGTGTGGGGAATGATGCCCCAGGCCTCAGGTCCTTCTTATTGTTATTTTCTGAGTTCTGTCCCTGGGCCCAGCCTTGGGCACTCCTCTCTTCCTTTGAGCTATGGCCAGGGCCCCCAGCCATGCTATCCCGAAAATGATCTTGAGTCCCATGGTCCCTCTGGTGGCTGCAAACTTCAACTGTCCTCTCTGCCCTGGAACTGACACCAGCAACTCTACTCTTTTGCAAATGCCCACAGTCAGCAGGGTCTCTACCCCTCTGCTACCACACTCACCAGGTGTGTGCTAGCTCCTTCTCTTCTAAAGCCTCAGCTGGGGACCATATCTGGTCAGCACAGCTGTGCTTAGCATCTCTAGACAGTGGAATGTCCTTCCATCAAAATTATTTTATTACTGGCTAAGAAATAGAGTGATAGATCGGTGGAATAGCTTAGGTACACAAGACACAATAGTAAATGACTATAGTAATCTACTGTTTACTACTATAGTAATCAACAGTGAAAGGTCCTTCAGTCTGAGCCATCCAACCCCCACAATATCCTTGAAGTAAAAGTTTTTGAGACTGAGCTACCTCCCAACCCAGCTGCCCCCAGGGCTTGTCATTTGTTTATTCCGGAGTCAGCCTGGAAGTATTTGCCCTTCATTAAGGACAAAGCAAGGGCAAACCTCCAGCCCTGGAGGTTGAATCTTTTCTGGGTTCTTCCCAGATTGTCTTAGGAGGACAACTGCTTAACTCCAATTTTTATTTCTGCTGCTCTGTGTTCACTTTGAGGCAATGTTCTGTCTCTTTGTGAAGGAAATTTGGAGAGCTTAAAGTTTTCTGTCCTACTATTCCATCTTCCCAGACTCCTCTCTAAAAGTTATTTCAATTAGGTAGCATCTTTAAGGGCATCTAGGTGGCTGAGTGGACAGAGTGATGGGTGCTGAGTCAGGAAGACTCATCTTCCTGAGTTCAAATCTGGCCTGAGACACTTACCTAGAAGTATGACCCTGGGCATTCCACTTAACCCTGTTTGCCTCAGTTTTTTCATCTGTAAAATGAGCTGGAGAAGGAAATGGCAAAGCATTCCAGTATCTTTGCCCAGAATACCCCAAATAGGCACGCAAAGAGTCAGACACGACTGAAAAATGATGCCACAACAACAAAAACCATCCTTAAAAAGGCATTTAGAAAAGGTTAGTTCTTTGAAACTTAAACATTGTAAACATTTCTCTTTAAACTAGAGAACAGTAAAGCTCATCAACTGACTATTCCTGGTCTACACAGACAAGACCAGTTAGATCTGCCTAGGATATAATAATTTAATATTTGATATAACATTTAATAGCTTAATATAATATTAATATGTTTGTGTACTATATGTTTAATAAATGTTTATTTGGATCAGTGAATTGACTCTTTAAGCCAGCTCCCCCAGGATGTCAAAGCTGCTGCAAAGCCCCTTCTGCTTTTCTTTCTCAAGCCAGAGGGGGCAGTAGAGAGCAACAAGGGCTTGTGAAAAGCTTTGCCTTCCATTACAGGGCCATCTCCAGTCATCCTGATCTATATCTGGTCACTGGACCCAGATGGCTTTGGAGGAGAAAGTGGGGCTGGTGACTTTGCCCAGCCCTCCTTCACTTAAATGCATTTCACTTGCATGTCATGGCATCACCTCCCTGATGCCATGTTCTTCTTCAAGAAGAAAGGACAAACGGCAACCTCTGTGAGTAGTAATAGGAGCTGCCTCACTGGGGCAACTGGAACTGTCCAGTTGGGCAACACTGCTCTTTCTTTCTTTCTTTCTTTCTTTCTTTCTTTCTTTCTTTCTTTCTTTCTTTCTTTCTTTCTTTCTTTCTTTCTTTTTCTTTCTTTCTTTCTTTCTTTCTTTCTTTCTTTCTCTCTCTCTCTCTCTCTTTCCTTCCTTCCTTCCTTCTTTCCTTCCTTTTTCTGTCTTTCTTTCCTTCTTTCCTTCTTTCTTTCTCTCTCTCTCTCTCTTTCTTTTTCTCCCTCCCTCCCTCTCTCCCTCCCTCCCTCCCTTCCTTCCTTCTTCTCCCTCTCCTCCCCTTCCCTCCCTTCTCAGTCCACTCTCTTTGGTGCCCTTGAAACTGTGTTTCTTTATACTCACATTTTTCTAGTTTTTAATCAATAAAAGATTTATATATCTCTTTATAACGCTAAGCTGTTCCCACACAAGCAAGGCATTGCTCCAAAAGTGTTAATAAGGAGATCTAAGTCCTCACAATTACACTACAGATTATTTTCTCTACAAAGCTTTTCAGATCCTGTCTGAAAACAATGTTTCTTTGTACACATATATTAGCAATGTATAGTAAAACAAAATTATTTTTCTCACATGGGATATCAAAATGTTCATCCACAATAGTGGCAGTATTCCATATCATTTGACAGTCAATATAAATCTATTAGACAAAAACACTTTTTTTCTGTCCCTTTCATTACCAAACCACCCAGTTATCCTAAAGAGCAGTATATTTTATGCTAGACCAGTAACAGGCTATCTTCCAGTTCAGAGTTTTAGGGCAGTTGAGTATAGTCCAGTTAGTTTTACAGTCAGGAAACTTAGGTTCATGTCTCAACTCTTCCTATTAACATTTATTGTGTGACCCTATGAAAGTTCACTTAACCTCTCTCTCTGTTTCCTTTATCTATAAAATGGGAATAGTAATATTTATACAACCCGCTTTACAGGATCATTGTAAGAAGATGACTTTCTACACTGTGCTACATTTACCTACTTTAGAGGGTTATTGTAGCAACCCAAGTTCCCGGCTGATTTTCAAAGCTCTTTGGAATCTGAGCTCATCCTTTCTAACCAATTTTATCTTGTTATTTTCCACCTCCAATCCTTTATCTCCATCTCCAATCCTACCCCGCCTAGGGAGTCCCACTGTACATTATAGACGCTAACTTCATTCCTACCCCCTTGTCTTTTTATCAAGATGTTTCTCCCTCGTTTGAAATGCCCTGTCCATAATTCTGATGGTTCTTTAAGGTCTAGTTCAAGTTCCACTTTCTCCTTAAAGCTTTGATTGCTCCAGCTACATTATTATCTGAGCTTTCTCTGGTCCTTTTCAGCATTAGAACATGAGAATCTTCACTTTCAATTACTATTTAATATTTTTTTAATCACAGTTTGGAGGCAGGGAGGGGAAAGGGTTGACACTGAATTATTAAACCAAGTCAATCAAATTTGTGAATACCAACTTTGTTGGTTGACGGTTGTAGTGTAGTGGATGGAGGGCTAACCATGGAGCCCAGAAGACCTGGGTTCAAATACTGCTTAAGATACTTGTGTGATCCTGGTCAAGTTGCTCGATGACCCCCAAGATCCTTCCAGTTCCAAATTGATGATCTTGTGAACAGAGAACTGTATTAGAAACTGTGGGTGATAAAAAAGGAGGGTAAGACAGGCTTCTTGACCACAAGAATTTAAACTCTTGTCAGAGAGGTAAAGTTAATGCCCATGGAATACTTATCCAAAAGGAGGAGGAGGAGGAGGAGGAGGAGGAGATCCAGTTCAAAATGGCCTACAGGCATTTAGTAATGTATAGCTGTAGCATAATGATGGGACATATAGAGAAGAGGTGAGTTCTTGGCATAATGAATGATTTTAGTAAAAAAGTTTTTGTTGTGATCATTGGCGTAGGAAACAAGGTTGAATAGGTAGAGGATGTAGCTACGTTATGGACTGCTTGAAAGCTAGGCAGAACAAATTGGCTTGATGAGAGTGGCAATAGGCCATTGCAGGCTTTTGGGGTGGGGAGAAATATGATGACAGTAACATTTAATGAAGATTACTCTGGCATCATTATATAGGATGGTCTAGAAGACTAAATGACAAATATTGTACAGGTTACCTTCCTAGGAAAGTGGCTGCTATAATCTAGGCCTGAGGTGATAAGGGCCTAGATTTATGGAGAAGAAAGAATGGAGATAAGAAAAAAATGCAAAAAATCAATGAGATTGAATGAGACATTGAATATAGGCAGTGAATGAAAGGTATGAATCAAAGACAAATCAATAAATCAATTCAAAGTGCAAATCAAGGGGCAGCGAGGTGGCTCAAGGAATAGAGCACTGGCCCTAAAGTCAGGATGATCCGAGTTCAAATCTGGTGCCAGACACATGATACTCACTAGGTGTGTGACCCTGGGCAAGTCACTTAACCTTGATTGCCTTGCCCCCCCAAAAAAGTGCAAATCAATTGAAAGAGTTAATAAAAGGAGATAATCGTTCACATGGGTTATCTATTAGAATGTACACTTCTTGAGGGCAAGGACTGTTTTTGGCCTCTACTTTTATCCCTAGCCCTTAGCACAGTGTCTGGTATATAGCAGGTGCTTAGTAAATGTTTATTGACTGACTGACTAATAATAGTTCACATTTATTCTTCATTAGGATGTATGCTTGAGGGCAGAGACTTTTTTGCCTCCACTTTTATCCCCAGCACTTAGCACAGTGCCTGGCATATAGTAGGCATTTAATAATTTAAAAAAAAAACTGGCTGGCTCACATTTATCATACTACTTCATATTTTACAAAATGCTTTATTCACCGCAACCTTCCTCAGAGCTTGTATTACCTAGATGAGAGCTTTCCTGATTTCCCTTCCACAAACCCCCATTACTCCGGCCTCCTCTCCTTCACATTTTCCCTCCTCCCCCCCAAAATACCCCTACTACCTTGCATTTATTTTATATATATCTACAATTGGATGATGCTGGGTACTGGTACTTGGATGGTAAGCAGAGCTGGGTGCCCTTTCTTGGCTGGCTCTCACCTTCATATGGGTAATGCCACTCTTTCCCAGCTCTGCCCTTTAGGTGTGACTTTCTTGAAATGCCCGTGGCTCCAAATCTTGGGGGGAAAGGTTTTCCTTTCAAACCTACCTAAGAAAGAACAAAGGGAATAGGAGTTAACTAAAGTGATTGACTCCAGCTGCATTACAGACCTTCCCCCCCCCCCCCCCCACTAGGACTGATGATGCTAAGGTGTGTCTAGTTATTGATTCAGACTTCTGTATTCTTTTTCTTCTTTGGGGAAGCTATAAAAATATGAATAAAATCTCTTTTGTTTATTTCACCTCCCCTCCCCCAATTATTCCAGGGGAAAAACAATCCCAAAGGTAATAATATCTGTCTCTCCAGCTATGAATCTCACCATTGCCTCTCTCTCAGTTGCATTTACTCCAAGGGCACTCATAAATTGAGGAAACTGGTTTCTTTTCAAACAAATGATAGCTGCCTGAACAGAGGCAGATTGTTCATCTCCCACATACTTAACTCCAGTAAAAACTTGAAATTTTCATCAGATGGAATAATTATCAAGAAATCCAACAGGGAACTGCAGTAAAAGTGACTTCTTCTACCCCAGACCTGCACAAAAATTTAGCCAGAAGTCCACGGGCAAAAGAAAGGGGGACTGGATAAAGCCAGGGCCAGCACAGGCATCACATTTACTTCTGGTGTAAGGGGTGGGCTGTTTAGTATTCAGGCTGGCTAAGGATGGGATAGAGCTGAAATGTACTGCTTCCTTCTACATATTATCTGTTATCTTGGTCAATATCTATGACAAGAAACAAGTATCCTTTCAGAACCTTAATGTCTTCAAAGGGTATTTTGAGGGAATTCAGGCTTGTGCTGGAGCTAGTTCAAACAGGCCCAGCTGATTGTCAAATTTTCAGTGCGATGGCTTCTACCTCAGAAACTTCCAAACACTATAAATCAGGTTATGATTTATTGCTTTCTTGATTGTCTAGATGTAGGGAAGTTTTGGTGAAAATATTAATAATGCAGATTAAATTTAAAACTGTATACTTTGTAAGATGGGTGGGAGGAGGAGGGGTCCCTCCAAGAGCTGGTTGTTAAACATTTGTCAGCACACCTCTGGAATTAAATAAGTTAAAACAGATGACCACAGGATGGATTGATTCTGTTCTTAGGGTTTGAAGAGAAGGAAGAAAAGAACAAAAGGAATGTACTAATGTAGAAAGGAGAAAAAAGGGATGAAATGTTATTTTTTTTTATAGTTGGTACATGTGAGAAGGGTATAAAAAATGGAGGAAGTAGGGTGGAGGGCAATTGTCAAATGAAAGTTACTCTTACCTGAAATGGTCAAATGAGAGTTGAATACATACCCAAATGGTTTTGTGTAGAAATGCATCAAATTCAAAAGGAAAACAAGGGGGGGTAGGGATGGAGAGAGATTAAGAATACCCAGAGAAAATAGCTACAAAGCAAAATAAACCTCCTGCTCCCTAAGGGGGAAATTAAAAGGGGAAAAAACAAACAAACAAAAAAACTAGAATCAATTAGGGAATGTCTGAACAAAGTACGGTATATAAATGTGATAGATATTACCGTACTGTAAGAAATGATAAAAGAGAATCCTGGGCAGTATGAACTGATGCAGAATGAAGTAGGCAGGACCAAGAGAACAACATTGTAAAGCAAAGCAACTTGGAAAGCCTTAAGAACTCTGATAATGCCATGACCAGTCATATCTTTAAAGGACATAGAATGAAATGTCAGCCACTTCTTGACAGAGAGGGGATGAACTCAAAATGCAAAAAGGGACATGCATTTTTGGACACAGCCACTACGTGGATTCATTTTGCTTGAATATGCTTGGGAGGAAGTGGGGAGTTGACAAAAGTGATGCCCCAAAATAAAGGGCCAAAATAAACTTTAAAAAAATGCACAGAAGAGAACAGAAAGATATTCAAAAGGAAGCACAATTAGGACAGCTTTGAAAGTAACAAGTAGAATCATAAACTTTTTTCAAAAAGGAGCTGTTAGGAAATGGAGATTCACCACTTCATATATAATCTAATTTTTTACATACATGTAATATGTATCTAATATATATCTAAACTTACACTCCTCTCAAAAAAAGAATATGTATGTATATGTGTGTGTGTGTGTGTATAAAACATAGTAATATAGTATGATATATACACATACCCTTTTTGGATAGAAGCAGTATATAAGTTAAGCACAAAATTAAATTTAAAAAATAAAACATGGCAAAATAGAAACTAAAACCAACTCAAAGATCAAAGATTGAGAAAGCAGGCTCATTTCTTTTTTGAGAAAATGAATTGGCATAAGGGAAGCAGGGGACAGGAGAACAAGAATCACTGGTTCTATCTCAAGTCAAGTCAACAAGCATTTATTAAGCACTTACTGTGTACCAGCAGGCACTGTGCCGAGTCCTGGGAATGCAAATAATAGCAGAATGAGCCCAGTGTGCTGTGCCTGCCTGCTGTGGAAGTGGCTTCAGCTCAAATTCCCATTGGCTGGCGGGGGTTCTTATTCTTTCTGCAACACCACTCTCAGTGTCCTTATCCAAAGCTTCTGTTCTTCTGCTCTGTCCTCCCAAAGGATGCCTTTCAGACACAGTCTCTGCCTATTCAGTCACTAGCCCAGGACACACTGAGATTTTTGTCCTGACCAGCAAGCATCTACTTCTAGCATCCGCTGCAACTCCTTGGCAACCCCCAGGGGTGCTACAAGTATATCTGATATATACTTACAGATGTTTATGGCTCTTCCCACCCTCACTCCCCAGTAGAATGAAAATTCCTTGCAGGTAGGAACTATTTCAATTTGGTCTGTTATAGTCCCAGGTACATAGTAGGGGTTTAATAAATGCTTGCTTGCTTAAACATGATGAAGTAGGTAGTGAGTATATCATTCTCTTCATTTTACACAGGTAGGAACTGAACCACAGAGAGATTAAGACTAGTCCAGACTTGTGTGGTAAGGGGCGAATGCAGGAATCTAGCCCAGGTATTATTACTCTGGGTCTATTTCTCTTTCCATTATAACACACTACCTTCCAGGAAGGGATACACACAAAGGGTGAGGAGTCAATAAGGCACAAATTAAGAACTGCCTGGTTTTAATGATCCAAGACAATTCTGAAAGACTTGTGATGAAAAATGCTATCCACCTCCAGAGAAAGAACTGCTGGAGTCTGAATGCAGATTGATGCATACTTTTTTTCTTTATTTTTCTTGTTTTGTTTTTTTGGGGTTTTTTCTTTTTTCCTTTTTTTTGGTCTGTTTTCTTTCACAACATGACTAATATGGAAATATATTTTGCATGACTATACATATATAACCTATATAAAATTGCTTACTTCTTAATGAGAGGGAGGGAGTTTGGAACTCAAATTTTTTTTAATGTTAAAAATTGTTTTTACCTGTAATTGGAAAAGAAATTAAAAAAAATGTTTTTAAAGAACTGTCTAACTTAATTGTCCTCAGTGGCCCAAAGTGGTATATGTAGGATCAGCTTTTGAGAAGAAACAAGAAACAGGGATTTTGGAGGAAGAGAAGGGGCTGATTTATTTATTTATTTTTAAATGACCAACAGGCAATATACAGAAACAGTATAAAAAGCATTTACATTCCTTTTAAGCCAGTATTTTAAAGTCTCTCTCAACTGTAAGTTCTCTGTTCATGTTCACTGACTTTGGATGGGCACGGTGCTCAGTGTTTACTTCCTGGGGGTTTGAAAATCTGTAGGACAATTAAGTTTTCCAAATGGAAGGAATTGGACACTACTCCTGCTAACACGATAGGCACTCAGACATTCTAGAGCTACAGTTTCAACCTTTTTTGGCTGATAGCCATGCCTAGCAAGAAGCCGTTTGGGTTGGAAAGTTAGCTTTAAAATACCTTTCTGGCTTCAATGAAGAAGAAAAAAAATCCTAGTACCATCTTTGCTGAAATTTGGAGCATTAAACATTTTACATTTGATTAGTATTGATATTAGACTAGCACCTCATGATTTATTTATTTCACCAAACATTAGCCACGGCATCATAAATCACAGTTATCATAGAGTATAGCTGGAAGGGACTTTAGAGACCAACATGTCCAGCCCCTTCATTTTACAGACGAAAATCTGAGTCTGAGAGAAGTTAATTGATTTGCCCAAGACCACACAGTTGGAGAGTGTCTTAAGGCAGAATTTTAACTCAAGTTGTCCTGAGTTCAAGTCCAGCACTTTATCCACTGAGCCACCTCAAAAGGCATTGGGACAAAGTGGACATTCCATAGGAGTTTCTAGACTAATGGAGAGAGGGAAACAACATATATACAACTAACTGGGATACAAGAAAGAGTATGATAAGTGCAAAGGAGCAGTATAGGGCCAGCAAAGGGCTATGGGAAATTTGAGGAGAGGACATTAATCCAGAGTGGAGAGGGGTGCTAAGAAAGCTTCAAGGAGAAGAAGTGGTAGGAGACTTAAGCCTCCAAAAAAGAGAAGGAACTTTCTTCAAAGATGAGAAAGACTGTGTGTGTGTGTGTGTGTGTGTGTGTGTGTGGGTGTGGGTGTGTGTGGGTGTGTGTGTGGGTGTGGGTGTGGTGGGGGAGGGGTGAGAGGGAGAATAGTGTGAGGAAAGGCATAGGGAAGGAAAATGGATTGGGGACAAGATGGAAAATACTCCAGTTTGACTGAAATCTAGGGCACATGAAGGGAAAGACTGTGAAATTAGGCTGAGAAGATTGGTTGGAGTCAGAATGTGAAGGGCTTTGAATGCCAGTGTTACGAGTTTATACTTCACTTTGTAGGCAGAGTAGAACTAATAAAGATTTTTAAATAAAGATAAAAGTTTTAAAATCAGAGCCTTTTGTCAGAATAATTACTCCAGTTGTGGTGTATTATTTGAAGAAGCAGATAGCCCAGTTAGGAGGCCATTATAATAAATCAGAAGTAGGTAATAAGGGCCTGAACTAAAATTTCTTCTTCTTTTTTTTTAGCATTCATTTAAAAAATTGAGTTCTAAATTCTCTCCCATTCCACCCCTTCCCCCCTCTATTAGAAGGCAAGCAATAGGATATGAATTGTGTATGTGGAATCATGCAAAACATTTCCATAGTCTCCATGTTGTTAAAAAAAAATTAAAAAGCTAGAAACACGGAGTAAAAAAGGATGCTTTGATCTGCATTCAGAGATCATCAGTTCTCTCTTTCTTTGGAAGTAGATTTCATTTTTCATCATAGATCCTTTGGAATTATCTTCGATCATTGTATTGGTCAGAGTAGCTATGTCCTTTATAGTTAATCATCCTTACAATATTTCTGTTACTGTGTAAAATGTTCTCTTACTTGCTTCACTTTGTAGGAGTTCATAGAAGTCTTCCCAGGTTTTTCTGAAACCATCCTGCTCATCATTTCTTATAGCACAACAGTATTACGTTACATTCATATACCGCAACTTATTTAGACATTCCTCAACTGATGGGTATTCCCTCAATTTCCATTTCTTTGCCACTACCAAAAGAGCTGTTATAAATACTTTTGTACAAATAGGTCTTTTTTTCCTTTTTCTTTGATCGCTTTGGGATACAGACCTAGTAGTGGTGTTGTTGAGTCAAAGAGTATGAATAGTTTTATATCCCTTTGGACATTGTTCCAAATTGTTCTTCAGTATGGTTGGACCAGTTCGCAACTCCACCAACAGTGCATTGTATACCTATTTTTGCACATCTCCTCCAGCATTTATCAATTTTCTTCTCTGTCATATTAGCCAATTTGATGGGTATGAGTTGTTTTAATTTGTAATTTTCTAATCAATAATGATTTAGAGCATTTTTCATGTGACTATTGATAGCTTTAATTTCTTCTTCTGAAAACTGCCTGTTCATATCCTTTTTGAGGATTTTTTTTTTTAGGATTTCTGTAATAAAATCATAAGATTTAAAACTAGATGGGACCTTTCTCTAGCCAAACCCACCTCATTTTACAGATAAGGAATCTGAGGCCCAGAAGAATTGAATGACTTGTCTAAGGTCACACAGGTAATAAATAACATTAAATGACATTAAAGAAGAAGCTAATTACTATTGCAACTTTGCTGCTGCATCCTAAGGACCATGGAACTTGTCTTGCAGCTAAACCTTCCGTATGTATTGTCTCCCTTCTTAGAATGAGTTCCTTGAAAGAGAGACCATCTTAGCACAGTGTTTTTTGCACATCATAAGTGCTTAATAAATGCTTCATTCAGTTATTCAATAGAGCTGAGACTCAAATCCATGAACTCTGAGCCCAGATACATTGCTATTTCCACTACCCTGACCTTCCCTTTTAATGGTGGTGTGAGGAGGGAGGAGGGGACAGTCATGATATAGTCAAGGTGATATCAACAGGGCCAACAACTATTTGGAAGAGAAGGATGAGAAGGAGGTAAGATTCAAAGATTCAAGTATGGATGGCTGAAAAAATGGTGGTGCCATCAACAGAGATACAAAGGTTGAGGGGAGGGGCAGATTTGAGTGGGAGGAAGGAATACATTTAGTTTAAAGTGATAGCGTGGTGTCCAAAATAAGATATTCAAAGCACATTTGGAGATACAAAAGCTCTCAGAAAAGTTGAGAATGTCTAACTGATTTGGGGATCAACATACATGCTATTCAGAGAAAAGGCAAAGAGGAGCTATGAGAAGAAATTAAATTTGTATAAGAGAAGGCCAAGGCAAACCAATATTACATAGGATGGTGAATGTCTCTCTTCAAGAACAGATGGGTTTAAAAAGGGAGTGGAAGAGGAACTGGGGTTGCAAGAGGAGGCATACAAGCAAGGTTTTGGTTGCTTAGCTACCAGCAGAGGGGAAAGAAAGGATTGAATGAATGATCTACACCAAGTAGGAAGATTCTGAGGAAGAAAGGGGATTGAGTGAACTGAAAGCTCAATATGAGTAAGCAGTCTGATGTGGCAGACTAATTCAAAACATTAATTCGATCTTAGAATTCATTAAGAGAGGTGAAGCTTCTAGGAAAAAGGAGATGCTGCTGACCTGGTCAGATCTGATATAGAGTATGACAATCTGTTCTGGGCATCACAGTTTAAAAAGAACATTGATAAGCTAGAGAGTATTTGAAGGAAGGCAACCAGGTTGGTCAAATGCCTCCAGTCCATGAACATATTGATCAACTGAAGGGACTTGACATACTTAGACTGGAAAAGAGAGAACTCAGAGAGGACACGGGGCATTTGGCCAGCTTCTCGAGAACCTTTATCTGTGTCTTAGGTGCGAATTAGCTGCCTCCTTCTTCCCACTTAACTGAACCTGGGTCGGAGCGAGGCCTCTGCGTCAGCCTGCAGACCTACAGCCCTGGGTCAGGACCCAGGGAGAGCCCCAGAGGGGTGGTGTTTGTGTGAGCTAGAGTTGAGAGCAGGACATCGAGAGCAGACCGGAACAAGGTTGCGACCGAGATCCATACAGCACCGGCAGCGGGTGCAGCGGCTGGATCTCCCCTCACCCCATTCTGGTGGCGTCACAACGCTCAACTGCAGCGTCACAATGGACTGGGGAAGAAGAAGAGCCGCTGCAGCCAATCAGAGTGCTCGGCCGCCGGCTGGCTCTCCTCCCCGCCTCCCTCCTTCTTTTTCTTTTCTCTTCTCTCAGTGATGACCAGCAGAGGAGGAGGAGGAACTGGAGGAGGAGGAGGAGGGGCAGGGCGGGAGCGGGTGGCCGAGGTTATAAATACCCAGAAGAGGAGCCCGCAGGCATGTCCTCCACTGAGGGGGCACAGGCCCCGGGCCCGGGGGGCTCCCCGGGCTCTCTGCGGCTGTTCCAGGACCCGCTCAGCTGCGCGCTGCTGCTGCCGTTGCTGCTGCTGCCGCTGCTGCTGCTGGCCTGGGGGATCCTGCTCGGCCGCCAGCGCGGGGTGCCCCCGGGTCCCCGACCCTGGCCGCTGGTGGGGAACCTGGGCTTCGTGCTGCTGCCCGCGGCACTCAAGAGGTGGAGCTCATCGCTGCCATCGCCTCTGCGCTGCCCCCCCAGGCCCCGGGAGCCCCGTCTCTCCAGCCCCCAGGTGATCCTGGCTCACATGGCCCGGCTCTACGGCCCCATCTTCAGCTTCTACCTGGGGCCGTACCTGGTGGTGGTCCTCTGTGACTTCCACAGCGTGCGCGAGGCTCTGGTGCAGCAAGCCGAGGTCTTCAGCGACCGGCCACGGGTGCCGCTCATCTCCATCTTCACCAAGGAGAAGGGTAAGAGCTCGGGACGTGGAAGGAAGGATCCCTGGCACTGCCAGGAGCGGCGATGGGGATGGAGAGGCACTGCGGGGTCCGGTGAGACCTGCGGTGAATGATGGGCAGCCGGAGGCCCCGAGCTAAAATCCTATCCTTATGGCCTTAAGCAGGGCTCTCTGGGCCTCAGTCTCTCCCAATGGAAAACGAAAAGGTTGGACTACAGATGAGCTCAGAGGTCCCTTCCAGGATCCTATGAGCTTGTGCCTCTTAAACTCCCAGAAGTACCGTTGTGACACCTAGGCTGGAGAAGCTGGTAGGCAGTCCCTGGAGTCTTCAGTGAAGGGTGCTTGCAGAAAAAAAAAAAAAAATCTTCTTTCTCTTTCATTTTCTTTTCCACACCCACATCCTGGCCCCATAGGGGTGGGGAGAAGGAATGATCAGAGGTCACACTCCTTCTCTTCCCTACTGTCTCTTTGACTAATCTACTCCGGATGGTGTGGTACCCCTGCCGGGATTTTCAGTGCAATTCAGAGGATGCTTTAGACTAGAGCCTTCTAGCTCTAGTAATGGACTTCTTTTGGCAGTCTGGTGGAGCTTTTGGACTCCTCAGGATAATGTTTTTACATGTATAAAATAAAATATATAGGAATCCAAAGGAAACCAATAATAGTGAAATATAGTTATCAAAACATATACATTTTTAAGAAAACAAGCTTAAGTTAGTTACCTGGGTTAAAACCTCTGCTTTAAAAAAACCTGTAAGATGAAACTGGTTGGAAAGTTGTAGGGATGGTGAAGGAAGTAGAGGAAACTCATTCAATCCCTGCTCCAACAGTGTAAACACTCCTCTTACCCATTTTCAGCAGAACTGGCACTTTCTGAAACTCTTCAAACCCCCCCCCCAACAAAAAAAATCCTTCATGTTGAGTCATTTTTATAAATTTATCTGGAATGCCAATCTAGTAAAGTGAATATAGGGAGCTGGCTTTAGAACCAGGAAGACCTGGGTTCAGGTCTCACTTCTGGCACATAGAGTCTGTGTGACTTTGGAGACATCACTGGGTATGTGTGCCAGGTGGCCCTCTATGAATTGGTAGGTGGTAGAGCAGGTGCTGATCTGCATAGAAATACCAATAAAACCACAGGAAGAAGTGCTCATGTGAAATATTCTTGAGTGCAAATAGGCCATGTTCAGTTAGTGAGTACAGGTGTCCATAGACGGTTAAAGGACATAGTCTATTTTCCTTCTGCTTCTGGGTAAGAAATTGTAAAAACAGGTGGCAAACTTAAAAAGCTTTTCTATTCCGGTCCTGTTTGTTAAAAGCATAACCAGTTAAGTTTGCATACGTGTCCATAGGTAACAATGGTAACAGAAGCATTGAGGAGTTCAAAAAATATAAAACTGACTTGAAGCAGCTTTGGGACTCATTGGAAAATGGCTTACAGCTCCTGGCTACAGGAGATAACTTTTATTCCTGATCACAAACTCCTTTCTGGGTTTCATATTTTTTTTTTCCAGTTAGTCAATAAACATTAAGCATCTACTATGTGCCAGGTATTGTCCTTAAAAAGTCTTCTTATCCCTAGCTTGGACCTTTTACTTGTCCCATATAAAGCAAGTTTCTTGACCCTGGATTTGCAGTCCAGCTCAGCTTTTAAATCCGAAAACTGTTGAATCAGGGCCACATTTTGTGGCACCAGCAGCATCCCAAAAACCCTTTTCCTATTGATCTCCATTTGGCTGTAACATTTCCTCTTGGGTTAGTAATCTTGTCCTGTGAGCATTGAAATTTGTGTTTTATCCTCAGCTAATACTACCCCAATGAGAGGCGATCTGAAAGTCTTTGGGGAAATCAAAAGTAGCTGCTTGGGGGTGGGGAGGGAAAGAATGGAGGGGGAGTGGGGAGGGGGAGTGGGAGGGGGAGAGAAAACTTGAGAGCTGGATGAAGGAGTTACTTCCTAAATCATGAACTTCATCTTGAAGCAGACCATTGGTGTGGTAAAGTGGAAATATCCCTGGATTTGTAGTCAAAGGGCCTAGGTTAGGATTCTAGATCTGCAATTTATTTAACTTGTATGATCTTAGGCAAATAGCTTAACTTCTCTGGATGTTAGTTTCCTAATTTATAAAATGAGGGGCTTGGACTAGAACCTCTAAGATAACCTTCTAGCTTTAGCTCAGAATCTCACGAATTTGGGAAAGAAAAGAAAGGCCAGCAGCACTAAACATTTATTTTTTAAATCTTTTATGTATAAAGTCCCTCTTAACATCTTCACTTAGCACAGTGCCTGGCACATAGTAGGTGCTTAATAAATGTTTATTGATTGATTTACTAGAAATACAAAGATGCAAGATATCAGGGTTATAAGTTCTCCATTGACTGTCATTTAACCTTTGTTTTCCCCAATTGCCTCAACTATAAAATGGGGATAATAATAGCACCTATTTCCCAGGGTTATTGTGAGAATAAATGAAATAATATCTGTTAAGCACTGTGCCAGGCACGGTGCCTGACCCATAAGGGGTGCTATACAAATTCTAGCTATTATTATTATTGACAAGAGGATTGGTAAGGAGATAAATGTTTCATTAGAATAAGGTAGGGGTGTCCATTCAGAAAATGGATTTTTGTGAATTGAAAAAAATAAAATTCAATAAAAAGAATTTGAGACTATTTCAATACATAAGAAAGAATGGGAAAATGCACACCCAGCTAAGCTGAATTGGGCATTTGAAAATGATGTTGCTTAGCTATTGAAAGCAAAGGAGGAGATATGGATCCAAATCTGACTGATAATAGGAAAATAGTGAGTTCTAAATAATTAAATATTTGCATTTGATCTGACAGTGAAGAAATAAGAGATGTATTTAAAAGATCTGTAAAATCCTGGAATACAAATTTAATTTGAAGATGATGAAAGCAAAGACTATTAAAAATTGGAACATTAGGGTGGAGGCATGTTTTTGTTTTGTTTTGTTTTGTTTTTGTTTCTGGGGTTTTTTTTGGGTTTTTTTTTTTTTTTTTTTTTTTTACAACTAGAGGACTTGCTCAGAAATAAGAGAAAAGGGAAGGAACAAACAGGCACTTGTTTTGGAATGTGGATTACATTTTCTTTCAGATATTTGTGATGGGAACTGGTCTCATTTGACATTTCTATAAATTAGAAGAATTGCACAGTGATATTTTCAGGTATCCAGTCAATGCCAAGATATGGAACGTGAAATTAATTGCTGGAGGAAAATCTTACTCTGTGTAAAGGGGGCAAAAGTGGAAGAACTTCATCATAAGCAAGCGAAATATTTAGGGGAAAAATAAGAACTGATCTATTTTGCCTCAGGAAAGAGATCTAGGTAACATTATAGACTGTTTGCTGATGACAATACACATTCTTGAAGTCAGTCAACCCGCATTTATTAAGCCCTTACTATCTGCTAATCAAGGCAGCTAGATGGCTCAGTGGATGATAGGGTAGTGGGCCTGGAGTCAGGAAATTCAAATTCAGCCTTGGACACTTGGTAGATTCATGAACTGGACAAATCACTTAACCTCTGTTTGTCTAATCCACTGGAGAAAGAAATGGCAAACCACTCCAGTATCTTTGCCAAGAAAACCTCATGGACAATAGGGTCCATGGGGTCACAAAGAGTCAGACACGACTGAATGACTGAACAAGAACAAATGTGCCAGGCACTATAAACAATATAAATGGAGATTACCTAGAGCAGGGCTACAAAATGATCCAGAGAAGAGAAGATTTTATAGTCTGAAAACATTAGGATTCATCTTCAGTCCTAAGAGGTGATATGCTATGAGATGTAACATGCATTAAGTGCTTTTTAAGATGAACAAAAATGTTTCTTATTATAGTTCCAGTTTTATCCTTAAATGTCCTTACAGTTAACATTGACATAGTGCTTACTATTTGCCAAGTCCAGTGCTAAGTGCTTTACAATTATTATCTCATTTGATCCTCACAATAACTCTGGGAGGGAGGTACTATTATCATCCTCATTTTACACCTGAGGAAACTGAGGGAGGGGGTAAGAGACTTGACCAGGATCACACCACTAGTAAGTGTCTGAAGCTGGATTTAAACTCAAGGCTTCCTTCAGCATTTGTAACTTTCCCTTTCAATCATTTTACCCAATCTGACAGGTGTAAAATGATATCTCAAGTTTGTTTTAATTTGCATTTCCCTAATCATAATGATTTAGGTCATTTTTTTCCATATGATTATAAACTATTTTGATTTCTTCATCAGACAACTGCCTATTCATATGCTTTGACCATTTATCAATTAGAGAATGACTTATATTCTTATAGATTTGATGAAATTCTTTATATATTTTAGATATGAGACCTTTATCTGAGAAAATGTCTATAATCTACCCCTCCCCCCATTTTCTGCTTTCCTTCTGATCTTGGCTACATTTGTTTCCATTTGCACAAAACCTTTTTAATTTAACATAATCAAAATTATTCATTTTATACCCCACAATTTACAGCAATAACTAACTAACTATCCAAATTAACTACAAGGGACCTATGAAGGAAGATGCTATCTGCATCTAGAGAAAGAACCAATAAATAGAAGTATGTATAGAATGATTTCACATACACACACACACACACGTGTGTGTGTGTGTGTGTGTGTGTGTATGTGTGTGTGTGGCCATTTCCAAAGTGGGGTGAGAAAAAAAGGGAAAAAAATGAAAGTTACATGATAACTTTATTATATATTTAAAAGGAATAGCAAGTTGTACATAATAGATTTGCAGTTTCATGTGCAATCATCTTTTTTTCTATTCTACTATATTATGGAAATGCCTGTTCCTTAAGTTCATAATAAAATACATAAAATTTAATAAAAATAGGGGAAACAAAGAACTCAAGTCTTCCTAACTCTAGTCCCAATGTTTTAACCGCTGGGCTACCTGGATGCTTTGGAATGGCTTTGTTAGGGGGTCTCTTGCCAGCCTATCTTTAAACTAATTTTGCCTTCCACGGTTTCTCACAATTTTTGGAAGCAGCATTTTTCATCATATTCCACAAATTTCTCTATAAGATCTTACAAATGAGTTTATATTCTAAACCATTTTGCCCTGGGCTGCCATACCTCCCCTCTTGGCAAGGAAACCAAATATTTGCTGGCTAAGGTAATTTCCAGCCTCTTTTGGTCTCTCTGTTATGTTGATTGATTTACATTGGTTAAACTTCCTTCAGAAATGGGAATAATAATCTAAATGTATTCATTTCCCTTTTTTTTGTTGTTGTTGTTGTGGTCAAGAGCTTGTTCAAATAAGTCAAGTTGGAGTTCTCAAGATTGTCTCATTTTTATTCTTCTAGTTTGATACTGGTTTTCATCTTTGTTGGCAGTGTTATTATACACAAACAGCAATATTTGGGGATGATTTCCATACCTTTAACCAGTTATTTTTCTGTCCATTAAAATATAATCAATTTCAGCTTTTTATAATAATGTTCAATATACCTAATGCCTCCAGACTTTCTTCGTGAAGAAATTATTCATTATCTGTGGGTTTGAGGTTCCTAGATAATCTACAAGTCTTGGACTTCTCATTTCTACTGTCAAATGAGA